TGGAAACACGTCAGTCGAGCCAAATATATCACAAGCAATTTGGACTGGGTTAGAGTTTAAATTTAAAATCTCAGTGAATTACAAAATGAAACAAAATTAAAAACAAAGGAAAACGTGAGGGAAAAATACTTTTGCTAATGTTTAAAAACTTTTTCAAAAAGGCTGGGGACCAAGTGACATAATATTTGATTATGAAAAGACTCGAGGTTTTGCTTCTAATATAAGAGAAATGTGGGGGTGAGTTCTACGACACAAACTTTAGATTTAATTGTGCTCCTATACCTGAACACATACCTTTTTAGCTGGAAGCAACAAATATTTACTTCTCTCACCTGTTACAGGTACTATACAGGTAAGAAGCCCCACAGGAATCCACCTGCATGATGATTAGTTATTGCTTTGAATTTCATTCTACATTTCTGCCAGGAGTAGAATCCCCATGATGATGTGGGAATTGTTCCTAAATATGCAACCATGCCTTTCTAGGATGAACATAAAATTCCAGAACCATTCAGTCACATCATCTATTCGTGACCTTCCCATCCAGGCTGGGTGATGGACAGGGTGGTAATTTTCCTAGGGGGTGGCTTTGTATTTCCAGCAGCGTGAGGTCACACCACAGTGAAACAATCCTAGACACATCTGCAGAGGATATTTTGGTAGAATTTTAGAAACAAACCAGAGGATGTGCTGGACAGGAAAGGATCCCTGATGGACACATTACCTGGTTCTAATGCAACCTGCCTAATGCAATCCATGGAGGGGATTGTCAGAATGAACAGAAAATATATCAGTATCCCATGTTGCAAATCTGAAATACTAACCTTGCTGTTGTAGAAGTACAAAAGTAAAGGCCACCCAGCTTCTAAAGGATGATGGATAGTTCATCCTAGGAGGAGGAGAAAACCAAAAACCAGAAAGTGTAACAAATAATGATTCACAGGGATCTGTTCATCAATTCTCCATTAAAGATTATGTCAATGAAGGAACCTCCAAATTGACTGATTAGCCTAGAAATTTGAAGAATTAAGTTATTTTAATGTTTGCAGATCTAAAGCTTCTTAATTAGCCAGGAGTTGTCAGCATCCTTGTTAGCTGAGGGGGAAGAAGGAGAGGTAAATCGTTTGTTTTATATGATGGGTTCAAATGAAAAGTGCAATCTAAGGATGGGTTAGGATTGAAGGTCAGCAGTAAATAGGATTTAATGTGAACATCATTCAGAGGAAACATTCAATCCTTTAATAACCCCAAACAGTTTCTTCATGATCTCCCCAGTACAAAGCTTTTGGCTGAATAGCTTTTCATTGTATACTAAAATGAGAGCCAATTATCGAGCATGGAGTGCTCTCATTGCAAAAAGACTTTAAACCTCGATTAAACTAATCCCCTCTCCCCCCCCACAGCCCCTTCCTAAACCAGTGGTGAGATGAAGAATACTTAACATTTCTTGACTCAGAATTCAGAAATACAAACAAGGACGCAGAGGCTAATCTTCTGCATTGTAAGAATACCCATCTTGCAAAGAATTTGGTAGAGATGTGGGTTAGGTGAGGAAAAGGGCAGGGGAAGAGGAGCTAAAAGAAAAATTATATAAATAATACATACATCCTAGAGAATGTTTTAATTATTGGGTGGGCCCAGTGGATTACATACATTACGGAGTACAAAAAAAGACCTTAAGGTAAAGTACACACCGTTTCATCACTATTTGCCGACCCTCCCCATTTTAAAGTTACATTACTGTAGGGGCAAAATTGGTATTCTACTGAAGAATGCAGAGCTGACGGACTGTAGATCCCTCACCAAGTTTCTATTTAATTTTATGGAGGGAGTAAGTCTGCACATAAATAGAGCTAACATTTTATTGTGGAAGCCAATTTGTGTTCCAAATTGGGCTAGGAAATGCATGGGATTGTGATTATATACAGCCATAAACATTTTTGTTTTTCGACAGAAAAACAAGTCAAGTTCTACTTCTGTCCAAGTGAAGACACATACATGCCCACGCACAAAATCAGCGTTATCTTGCTAGCAATCTCTATAACTATTGAGGAATTCAGCAAGATTTAGCTCACACAGAAGCTGCACCCAGTATTCATACTGTTCCCAAAGACCTCTGAACAAAATGGGATTTAGTTCTGAATAATTGTGGCACTTTATTATTATTATTGTGAAAGTTACCATCTTTACTTTGTTATAGTAGCACTTGGTTGCAGCTACCTATTTCTACCATATATCTGTTCTGGGAGATTGGCAAGAGAGGGGGAATCATCCTGTTATCGGTACTCAAAACTATCTTTTTTGGAGTTCTTTCTGTGAGTCACTGCATTTGCACACAATCACCCTTTTACCTGCAATGCACCACCGTCTCTCATCTTGGCTGAGTCTTTAAAGACTCTTCAATCATGTTGTTGTATAAACTGTCTATGTATTGTGTATGTGTGTGTATATACACACACATAGAGATACACTGCCTCTTTAGGTATGCTGAATAATTTTCCTGAAATGTATGACAGCAATGTATTAATTACAAAATGTAGAAATTACAGTTAAAGAATTATACCTCATTACACAGAAGCATTTTAAGTGAAGGGGGCTGAAAATTTTGCCTTTTTCTATATAATTGGGAAGAGACGCTGACATTAGTAGGAATATGACATACAATTCAGCAATCAACTACATTCACATATTACTTTTTATCTGGTTTCTGAGATAGCAAACAAATAAAAACAAACTAAGTGGCTGGTTTACGAAAAACATCAGATTGCTATCCCTAAAACATATCCCCAAAAGACAGAGTTTACAATGCAGGGTTAAAAAAGAAAAAAGAAACTTTAAAACAAGAAACACAGTTTTTAAATATAAATATATAAATATATGGAAAAAAACCACCAACCTGGTTTGTGACAGGGTGAAGCAAAACTATATCTGAAATTTGAAACCGAGTTTTGATAAACTCTGGGAAAACTTATGTCAATGAAGGACATATGTCAATAACCTTCTGCCAATGGTGAATGGTTGACGCTTCCAAAAATCCTTGGTTTTTCAACTGAAGACAAAGCTAAATAAGTGTTTTTCCTTAAGAGTTTCAAATAATAATGAATCCGTGTTGCATTTCAAATCTTTAATGGTACGTTGCCTAATCAGAAGTGTGAATCAGAAATGGGCTGTAAACCTGGAGCAATCTCTTTCTGAAAACTTAAACCTTCCAGGAGATCCAAGAGGGAAATGTCAAGGCTGGAAGAACTAGGTATGAGGCTGTTTTGATCAGAATCACTTTTCACTTAGCGGGAAAAAAAAAGCATCCCTTCCTTTGTGCTACTGTGTATATAGTGTTACAAAATTAGCATTAAAGAGCATAAGAACTAAACCCACGCATGAGCAAGAGACCTTTGAAGCAAAGTTAACTTTTTCCTAGCTCATTTAATACCCAAACTG